AATGGTGCTGCGGCTTCAAAGTCTGGAGCTAATGGTGAACGCCTTTATGAAGTAAATGGTTTTATCTAGTATTATTTTTTATCTTTACTGTTTATGTTCTGATAGATTGGTAAATTACGCTATGTATCAGTAAGTGAATTTCGAGGTAAATCATATGTCAATATTCGTGAATACTATGAAGATAAAGGCGTAGAAAAACCAGGCAAGAAAGGTATAGTGTGATAAAAAAACATGTTTTTTTTCTCATATTTTAATTAATTTTTGTTAAAAATTTAGGTATTAGTTTGACTGGTGATCAATGGGAAAAATTGAAATCATTGATTAATCAAGTTGATAAAGACTTGAAAAAGGCCAAATAAAATGAACATAGCAATATATTGACATTCAAAAACTACACATAGTCAGATTTATTATTACATATTTGATTAAAAAGAAAAAGAAACTGAAAAATTAAAACTTGATTAGTAGTCATTATTCTTTTTCTTTTGTGTGTTTATCTTAAACTTGAATTGTTAAATTTCTCTATCATTCGTTCTAAAATATATATTCTTCTCTGAACTTAGATCAACTAGTTATGTTGACCTTATTCTATTAAGATGATGATTCATTTAGATCATACATAAACAATGACTGATCATCGATAAGTACGATAAACTTAATGAATTACTAAATTGCTTCAATAAGACATTCGATTAGAGAACCACAAGTGAACGTTTTTGTGGACACAGACTCAATAAAGGCTAATTTTTTGAGCCGAGACTCGCAGCTACCTAAGTCTAACACTGAAATTTTATTGAATGTGAGCATATTAATTTGCAAAGAAGAAATAATCATTTAGAAATTGATTTACATTGCTATTCATCTAATGCATTGAAGCTAATAATTCATCGAATTGATTATGGCTTTTACAATAATAAAAATTGCTCAAAATTATTCTTTAATAACTTTACCATATATGAGACTTTGCAAAAGTCGCTTTGCTTATGATTTTCATTGATACACAAGTGATAGTATGACAGACAGAATACTAGAAATCACTATACATCTCTATTTGCTCGAGCTATGATGTGTTCCAATATTTTGACTTTTACAAATAATTAAAATTTTATAAAATGAAAATCATCAACAAATAGAGCTTTAGAAAGTTGAATTAGCGAAAAATTTTACTCACAAATTCGTGTCTTTATTATAAAATATCTACGAAAACATCGTATGACATGTCTAGAATTCCGAACAAATTTGTATTACTCAAACAACTGTAATCATCCAACGGATTATCATCAATATAGTCAACTATTCTATTATCAATCAACTTTCATTTGGTATATAACTTATTGTTTATATTGTTTGAACTCATCGTACTATCTCATTGTTACTTTACTGTTCAGTTGATAAGAATTAATTAATCCAACTTTAGATGAAGAATGTTTATTGAATAAGTTTCTTTCTTTTTATTTGAATAGATCAACATAAAGAGCTTTGTAGAGTTCATTTGCGTAGAAAAGTTGGTGTTGAAAGAAAAATAAATGAACTATTATTTATTGGGTATTGTATTTGACATTTTGTAAAAAAGTAAATTAATAGATCGTATTCATCAAGTCATAACTGATTCTTATAAGTAAAGATCAAAGCATAGAAGATGATACAAGTGAGTAAGAACATGCAGTTTTATCTAAAACTATTGATACTGACGCATTTATCATTGATCAACGATGATTCACGAGATGGGGCTATTATTGCGAGCAATTCAATGCATCTTTCAATGAACAACATCGGAGAATGAAAAAATTAAGAGAGAAAAATTGATTCTGCGGCATTAGAATTACATAGAGTCATTGAAAATCAATAAAAGCACTTGTAATTAACTGTTGTCCGTTCAATAATTCCTTGAGGAGATCTCAAATCATTCCTTGTTTTTATTTGAATAATACAAAAGATCGTTCTATTTAATCATGATAGTTAGTATTAAGGCTTGAAAATTTCCGTTATTTTGATTGTTAATTCATAACAGGTAACGCAAAAGTTATCTGCATTAACATTTTCTAAAAGAAAAACACGTTTATTATCAAGTCAAACTAATGACATATTATCTATTCATTCATAGGAGAAACTCAAGAAAAAGCAGTAAAAAAGAACTCTTATCTTCTTCTTGTTGTTGTTGTCTCTCAGTTTATATTGATTACATTTTGGACTCTATATCTTTAGGTTTGTTTTATTATTGTTTTGTTTCATTACTTGTTAGAAAACAAGTAATAAAGTTAAATAATGTAATTATATGGTGAATGATTTTTTTGTATAAACAGTTACTGTAGATCGGACGCAAAAGGACCCTTTGTCCTATCACAATGAACCTTTTGATGTGCTGCCCTGCGTCCTAGAAAACAGAATGAATGAATAATCATTTGTTGTAGAATATCAGACAAAATGAAGCAAACTATTCTGTCATGCTCTCTGGAAGTAAAGGAAATTTGTTATAGTTGGAAGGCAGATAGGATACTTCCGAAAGTCTTTCGCCTGAAATAGTCCTATTCAAGAAATATTACAATTTCTAATGATAAATGCTGATAAAGATTTCCTCTATATCAACAACATCCATCATCTATCTAACTTATCTTAGAGATATTCAATCATGTTTCTTTATTCTAGTTGCCGGCGCCATCTATGTGGAACCCAGAATATGCCATTTATTTGCTCTTGAGTATCAGCCGATGGTATATTGGAGTTAATAGATAACGAACGTACACGTCACTTCATAGGTGCTCGTATATAGGAATCCATTAAGTTTTGGATATAGAATCTATTTCAAAAACTCAATCTCATTCCATATTCAAATGTTTTCAATTGGTACAGATAGTAGTAGTAAGGTATGTTCTGTTATCTATGATATCTGATAAAACTGTTGGTTTGCTTTCCTTTTAATAGAAAAAAGGGAAACAAGCAACAAAAGGTGAGGCACAAATAGCCAAAGACAATGCGCAAACAATAGAATTTTACAAAAAAATTTTATTCATTGCTAATGTAAGATTTTATTGTCTGAATTCATAATTTATAAAGAAACGAAAATATATAATAGATCACTTTTATTGCTGTTAACTTCATATTTTATTTTATTACGGAACTTTCACATGTTTCTCTCGTAAGTGTTCAACACATGCAAAAAAAAAACCAATAGTTATTGATTATCTATTTGTTCTATTGTTGATAGATACTCTTCGTATTATCAACTGCTATTGGATGGTATGTATGGTTATTTATGCGTCGAGTTGGAACACAGAAATCGACTGGTAGTGTTACTGATCTAAATCTTGAAGGCAGTATTTCAGAGTAAGATTTATTTATCATATAAAAGATATCAAAAGTCAAATTACCAACAGCAATTGATATTGTGTTTTTCATGAAAATATAAGAAATATTTTTCATGAAATTTAATTTTCACAGTTTGTTTTCGGAGATTCAAAATGACTTTAAACACTAGTCTATTTCAAGAAAATCAAGTTAACATAAACTTTTTATTATATTTATATAGATATGCAAAAGATATTATATTGGCAATTGTTATTACTCAATCTGCTAGTCTTATACATCGATATTTTTGGTGGTTAATTTTAGCCGTATGTATAAAGAAATACTGTTCATTTTTTTTTCAAAAGTTGAACTCTATTTTAGATTCCACTTTATGCTATCTATAAAGCCATCATGCTCTTTTTCTTTTCACCCTATGCTCAATTACGTAGTAGCGGAAATAATCAAGGTGAGGATGATCAATCAGATGGAAAAAAAGGTGGCAAAAGAAAAATTGTTCGTGTTGCTCGACACTAGACAAAAGAAAATTTTCTTAATTCTCATTTTATTCCAACATTTATAAAATCCTTATAATAAGAAAATATTTTATTGTTTGAATTTGTTCTAGATATGAATAATTCATAGCTAGGACATATGTCATACAACATAATATCTTATCATATTTTTTATATTATTAAAGCTTTGCTTCATTACACTAATCAATCTCATTGCCAATGTTGCTAGTGCACTTAGTAAAAATATTTTGCTCAATAGCTTAATTGTATATTTTTTCTGCAGTATCCTGTGCTTGTCTCGCAGAAGAACTATATATAACCACTAACTCACAATGAATTTATGCTATGAAATATGATTTAACAAATAAGGAAAGTATTAATGAATGTGCCGAAAAGGTAAATAAGATATATGTGAGAACCAGATGTATTTTTATTTAAATACATAGTTTTAGGACATTGTTCCTCATATGATAATGATTATTAATAATCTTGGTGTTGCTTCAGGCAACCTGTAGTGATGCATCGATCGATTCAACATATATATGATGTTAATGTTATCTGTCATTTCTAGGTAAGATGATATTACTAATTCTCTTATACATAGGTTATCCTTCAATGTCGATCCTAAAAGCATTTTTCCATCAATGCTGAATGATAATCATGATCATATTGTAATGATTGTCAGTGATGTCAGTTGATACATAGTTTAAATAAACATGTTATTAAAACAGCAGTTGTATTTTTTTTTTGTAAATTATATAAATATGCACATGTTTACAGATGTTAATCGTTCGTAATTTATGGACAATATAGAAGAAAATGATAATTATAAATGATATATTTATTATCTTTTACACAAAAAAACAGGTTCATTTGCCAAAATAGAAGTTATATCTGATAAAATTATCAAAGATATTCACAGAAGTTAACATATGTTAATAATACTAAACGATATGAATATGAGAGATCTATTTAAAAATTATATAATCCAATTATTAATAGTTTTCAAACTTTCAATTTTTAATAAAAATCAGTTAGATTATTTTTTACTTGACATAAATATTCTATATTGTGAACTATCTTAAAACAATCAGATTAAAATGAGATCATTCAAATGTCATCAAGATTTTCTGATTGAATAGTTTTCACTTGTTAATTTTTTTAGAATACAAAAAAGAATATTTTCAGATTTGAAATAAACTAATGTTTGCTAAAGAAATCGCTATTCAATATATTAAATTATTTTATATTTTATTTAAACATTGGTTTCGTGATTTATTCTCATCATTTACTAATGGTTCACCTCTAAAGAGTCTTACTTCAGAAATAATTCTTATTACTGAAGCTGCTAGTGGTCTTGAAAAAGGTATAGCTCAAAGACTTACTTCACTTGGTTGTACACTCGTTCTATGAGATGTCGATGAAGTTAATAATACTCGTGTTGCCAACGAACTAAACAATGCTATGAAATGTGATTTGACAAATAGAGAAGGTATTTATGAATGTGCAAGAAAAGTAAAAAAAAAAAGTGTTCAACAAAAAGAAAATATAGTCATTCCTATGTACATGTATATTAATTAGGTACAAGAAAAAATTGGTCATGTGACAATAGTTATTAATAATACTGGTATTGTTTCAGGCAAACAATTAGTAGATTGTAGTGATGAATCGATTCAACGTACATTTGATGTTAATGTTATCGCTCATTTCTGGATATGATGATATTATTTATTCTGTCATATATCGATTATTCTTGCATGTAGATCCTCAAAGCATTTTTACCATCAATGTTAGATAATAATCATGGTCATATTGTAACAATTGTCAGTGGTGCTGGGTTAACAGGTGCATCTGGTCTTGTTGATTATTGTTCATCAAAATTTGCTGCTGTTGGTTTACATGAAGCTTTAACGTAAGAATTATTTTTTTTTGATATATCACTGGAAATTATATGAGAGTTATTTTCGACATGAATTGTATAGACTGAAGAAGACTGATATAAAAACAACAGTTGTTTGTCCAAGTTTTATTGATACCGATATGTTTGAAGGTGTTACTACTAGATAAGAACATGAAAATTTTCTTTTGCACTTGATATGTGCTGGTTTTTCTTCGTTAGTGTTTTATTGCCTATGTTAAAACCTGATGATGTTTGTGATCAAATTATTGAAGCTATAAGAAAAGATCAACATATGTTATTGATACCAAAAGTCTTAGGATTTAGATTGTTATTAAAAATGTTTGCAACAAAAAAGAGATTTTTACTGTTTTTCTTTTTCTATAGTGAATTTCTATTATTGTTTGACATTAGTATTTCATCAACAGCAGTTCAAATTGAAGCACAAGGGGTGACTGGTCTGTATCATTCCATGGATACATTTGTTGGACGTCATTGAAGATATTGAGTTTATTTATTTATTTTTTTGTAGACTTATTAATTAATCTTTTATTTACATGTGTGATTTTTAGATTTTATCTTTTTCTTTACAAATTAATTGACTTATATGGTAAAATATTATGATAATTCATAGAAGTATTAATTAATTGATAAATTGCCTATTTTAGTTTGTTTTTATTTTAAATGTAATCGAATTTGATAGTCTACATATTAACCTGATTGAGCAGAATAAATGGTAAGCTGAGTATGCTTTTGTAAAATATTAGGTTATTCTCTTCATTTAGAAATCAATTTTCCAATCAGAACATTGAGCTTTTCATACACTGTAAAATTGTATTCTATTTTTGACTCTCATCTGTTGCTATACCTTACTGGAAAAAAAGTCATTCTAATTAAATTGTCTAGAAAAGTGATGCATTGATTGTTTGAAGACGGATGATCCGTACCAACATAAGACAGAAAATTGTGATGACAACATCGTTCATTTAAAGACTGATTAGATATACCTCTACTACCAACAACGAGAAGAATAAAATACTTAACAATAATTGAAGATTTTAATATCATAGTATAGTATAACAGGTCTTCATTCAACTCGATAGTGCTATCATAGCAATTGTTTGTCTTCGAACAATCAATGAACCATTTGTTAGACTATTAAATTTCAATGAAATTTTTCCAATAAGATGTAGCAACAGATGCAAGTCAAAAATAATATACAGTTTTACAGAGAATTAAAAATTTTATGTTGTGATTAGAAAATTGTTTTCAACATGAGGAGAGTTGGCTAATTTATTGCAAAAAGTATCCTGAGATTGTCATTTATTATGTTCTACCTCGAACTTCCTATTGTTTCTATAAGCACAAGGAGCTAAAAGCTTGATAGACAGTTCTAGGCTGTCTATATGACAAAAAAAATATTGATAAAAGCTGCCTCCTTAAACTAGTCAGAGAGTTGTCGCAGACAGAACGTAAGATGTGGGTGGGAAAGGAAGCTAGTCCATTTCAGCTCTTTTCAAATCGAGACCATTGGTCCAACTCGTTTCATATATATCAAACATTGACCATTTCATGAAAGATAATGCAACTATAGGTGTTTCTTAACGTATCAGTTACGTTTTAATTCCTTCATCCTTTTTCATATGACGAGTTTATTAATAAGAACATATGTTAAGCTTAATTTGACAAACGAAAAACCATTAGTGTTGCTGAACAATAATCGACACAATTTCTTTCAGTTTATTTTGATATGTATAAATATCGTAAACATATTCTTCTAGATCTGAATAAGTCATGGTTAATATTCAAGTCATCAAACAACATCTCATCATAATTTTTACAGCATTAAAACATTGTTTCATTGCACTAATCAATCTCATTCGTGGTGGTATTCCACTGAAAGATCTTAGTTCAGAAATTGTTCTCATTACCGGAGCTGCTAGTGGACTTGGTAAAGGTATTGCTCAACGACTTGCTCATTTGGGTTGTACACTCGTTCTATGGGATATCGATGAGGTTAGTAACGCTCGTGTCGCAGAAGACTTAAATACAGCCACTAACTCAAATCGCATTTATGCTATGAAATGTGATTTAACAAATAAGGAAAATATTTATGAATGTGCTAGAAAGGTAAATAAGATATATATGAAAAGAAAATCTATCTTAATTTAAACACATAGGTACAAGGAACTATCGGTCATGTAACAATGATTATCAATAATGCTGGTGTGGTTTCAGGCAAACAATTAGTAAACTGTAGTGATGAATCGATTCAACGTACATTTGATGTTAATGTTATCGCTCATTTTTGGGTATTATATAGTGATGAGTGAAACCAACCACTTTTGGTCCCAATCCCCCTCCCTGCTGTGAAAAAAGTTTAATTCCTGTCTCGGTCTCGGTTCTTCTAGAACCAGAACCATCTTAACCATATTGAATAAAATGATATTACTGATTCTATCATGCACTCATTATTCTTGAATGTAGATTCTCAAAGCATTTTTGCCATCAATGCTAGATAATAATTATGGTCACATTGTAACGATAGCAAGTGCTGCTGGTTTAAGTGGTATATCTGGTTTAGTTGATTATTGTTCATCAAAATTTGCTGCTGTTGGTTTACATGAAGCTTTAACGTAAGAATTGCTTTTTCTTCATTGGATATGTGCAAATCTATATTTATTTATTTATTTTTTTATTTAGACATGAATTATATGGTCTAAAAAAACATGGCATTAAAACAACAGTTGTTTGTCCAAGTTTTATTAACACTGGTATGTTTGAAGGGGCCACTTCTCAGTAAGTAAATAGCGTTTATAATGATTTTATCTTGAGTATTTTTACCGTTAGTGACTTAGCGCCAATGTTGGATCAAGAAAAGGCTTGTGATGCAATTGTTAAAGGGATTAGACAAAATAAACATGTATTAATTATGCCAAAATCATTGGCGATTTCGTTTAATCTGAACTGGTTTGAATACTATTGACGAAAAAAGTTAACTTTTCTATGTGTTCTTTTTTTTTTCGTATTAGCTTCATACCGAAAGCAGCCGAACTTGAAATACATGATATGATTGGTCTTCATAAATTAATGGACACATTTATTGGTCGTCAAAAGAAATCAACTTAAAGTCAAGTAGTATATTACAAATTAATTGAACAAGTTTTCTTTTTTCTCATATTTATTCTTAGAATAGATTTTTTTTTTGTCTTAAGCTTTATATTTTTCTAATGTTTTTTTAAAATTATATAATTAATTATGCTATAATTTTGGTTGAAATGATTCTAGTTTGTTAGTATTGAATAATCTTAAATTTTAGATGAAAGTGGTCATGAAAAATAATGTTCGATGGATTAGATGACCAATAAATTAATAGTTCTTTCTCGATAATTATGAAATTTTCATTTTGTTCTTGTCTTAAACGCGTTCGTTCTACATATAGCATATCATCAAAGAATATTAATGATACAAATTCTAATTCAAATATGCCAACAATTACTTTAGCACCACTTCCATTATTATCAGATATGCCAGTTGTACCAATTGAATCAGATTATGAAAAAATTGTTGATTCATCAGGTGATGGAGAAATTGGTATTGTGAATGTTGATCAAAATTTAGCAAAATCAATGGAATATGAGAATCATACGAAATTAACATCAATACGATTACAACAACAATTATCTGATGATGATACAGAACTTTATGCTACTGTTGATAAAATAAGAACAGTGAATAATGGAACAAGAATAAAAACAAATGCAACAAGTACTATTGGTTCTAACCTTAGACAAGACTCAATACTAACATCAACAACTGCGTAAGTTACTGAAGAGTATAGATATAACTAGGATTCGATATCTGTATGTAGTAATTTGACAGAAGATAAAGAAAGACATCTGAAGTATTGACATATTTATGAATATTTCAATCATCGAATAGATAAACATCTTAATAAGAAATATTCTTTCTGTCACTTTATCAGAAGTACATCTGCCTCTGAAATAATAATGTTAATATATGCTTTCCTCTTGGAATTATAAATTGACATCAAGGATGAATTGTATATAGATTAGCAAAATCTATAGATTTGTCTTTATAGAAATTTCATTTCAAGGAATTCATTAGTAAAACTACTTAGTTGTCCTTATTTATATGTGATTCTCTACAAAAGTATAGAAAAAAACAGATCTTCATTTGAATTTCCAATTAGTCTGACAGAAATAAACAAATATACCTAATACCTTTTTATTTGTTATTTCAGTCCTTCATCACAACCAATACTTTCGGCAAGTTTACATTCAACCGGATTTACCATAACTCCTGAACATCTAACTTCTCCTCCACTGCCACCACCTCCATTACCACCTCTGCCGCTTCAAGTTTATACAGATACAATTGCGAATACAATAGCTAATGATCATGACAATATATCTACTCGCCGTCCTTATTATGAGGAAGTTATAGTACGTGAATCTTTACAAGATCGTGCTCAATATTCACCAATAGAAGAAGATCAAAATCAACAAGAACAACAATTAAATGAAAATTATTATTCATCTGTAAATAGTGAACGAGAAACAACAACTAACAGTGATATATATGCTGAAATAGCTAATAGTAGTGAATCGGGTATAGTATATCAAAATCCGCAATATCATTATTATTCTCGACCATCAAATGATACTGGCATAGGTGATGATACATCCGAACATTATGCAACTGTTATTGAATTAAGTAATACTGAAGAAGACTGTACAGGAAGTTGTTTATATCAAGATGTTGATTCTTGAATATTTTAAATATTTTTCTTTTGTTGCCTATTTTGTATTTGTCAGTGCAATCAAGTATTTGAACTGATATTTTTTTTATTATCAAAAATAACTTTATATTATGGTTTTTATCATTTGTACAGTTTGTTTTTTTTTTGTACGCATATATTCCTGACATTTGTTCTAAATTAATAAAAGAAATGCGGTGATAAAAAAAAAGGAAATTATTATAAAATATTATCTTTTTAATATGCAATACTAAATATGGACAAGAAAGTTTCGGTCGCGGTGGGACCAAGACAAGCATTAACATTTTATTAATACGAATGATATCTTTTATAATTGTGTAAGATCTGTATCAAATGCCGTATTCTCACGATTCATGTATTCTTAAAGTTCATGCAAAAGTTAGCCAGTAAAATGAGTCCTTTTCTTGTAACCAACAGAGCTATCGACGTACAACAAAATGTTTCGAACGCATTGATATTATTAGAAAATGATAAAGTTATTTTTTACTGGTACATGTACGACTAATCACGAAATGAAAATCGAACACGAATGGTCTCGCTCATTACTATGCAATATCATTCACAAATATTATATTACTGAACATGTCTTTTCGAATAATATTTTATCTTAAGAATTTACATGTGATATTCAATGATTATCCATTGAAAAATCAAGGAGTTTTTTTTTTGCTATCATTTCATCTACATGGCATGTCTCA